CAGAAACAATACTATTACAAGATTCTGTGGTCAGAAATTGTGTCTTTCACACACACAAAATGGTATTTTTATCCTTTCTACCTACCACAGTACCTACCTGACTCATGATAGGCAGAGTATAATATATCTGAAACTCATCTGAAAGCAATTTGTGTATTTTACCAAAAGGACAGCAGCTTGAAGGACAGCTGCTTACTACTACAGGTGAAATCGGTTTTTTTTTAGGTTGTATCTATACAAAAGGGAGTGATAAGGCAATTAGCCACAAAAAGCAATGGCAAAAGTCCTATGCTGAGACAAAGTCATTTTCTGATCTGATTTGCTTTGATTGATCTACTTATGTCAGTCTTTAATAATTTTCAGATTTTTTGTCTTTAGACATATAGACATAGTTTAAAGATACTGGAGTTTCTCTACTTAAAATAAATTGTTCATAAATTTGCCCATAAATTTCTTTTCAATTATTAAACATTGTTAGGTGTTTAGCATTTACTAGTATCAAATGGGTTTGCATCAATAATATAATGCTGTCATGAATGTCTTAAATATTAAAAAAATACAAATTAATATCTAGCCATGCATTTGCAAAAAGAATATTTGCTAAGGAATAAAAGTTATTGTAATTTTTAAGACACTTTACATACAAAATGATCTATAAACAAGAGTAACCAAATGCTCTTTTATGAAACAAAAAGCTTCTCTAGTGATTCTTGCCTATCTTTTTTTCTCTTTTGGCAGGATGCTCTTTTTCTTCCACCACTGGGCCTGCCTATTTTCCTCCCTTGTTATTGACAGTCAGCTTTCATGGGACTTGGTCACAATGTAGGATCAGAAACCACAGGTTATTGAGACAGGTACATACTTTGTAATATTCCAGGAGAATTTGCGTAATCTTCTTCAGTCTTTTCACCAGCAATGACAGTATGTTATCTTAGTAACAAATCAGCCCATGTCCTATTTGCCATGCAAAGCCATGTCATAGCTGGCATTATTAAAGGGGCAAGGGATGAGAGCCCATTTCAAGTGGAATAACAATATCTTTCCAGGTGGCGGAAATTCTGAAATGCTTCTGGCTCTGGGGTGAAGGCTAAGTCCTTAGGATGGCTGGCATTTGTAACTCCTACTGCAGTTCACACCTATGTGGGCTCAACACTAGCATAGTGCTTTTCTGATGTCATAGACGAACGGATGGCATACAGAAAATAAGGAGCTCCTCAGGTCTTGGCAGAGTTGCAGGTAGTTTGACTAAAGTTGGACTCCTTAACTGGTGGTGGCTTAATAGATAAAACATAGAATTTTCTTACCAATTTAAAGAAGAATCTCATTCCTTTTTGAAGAAAAAACCCCAAAGATAACTTCCCTGGGGTGGGGTGGGGTGGGGTGTCTTAGATTGTTTTTCAGAGTTAGTCATTCAAAAACTTAGTCTAAATATTCACCCAATGATTTTTACTCCTCCCTTCCAAATAATAATACAAATTTTAAAATAATCTGGGTCTATGGAAAACAAACTCCATAAACATCAACCTATTCTTTATTTGTTATAAGTGAGAAAAAATATCAATCTTAAACTGCAACCCTTAATGCAAGAAGATCTTATTTATAAAATGTATTTTTATATCTTGGCAAAAATACTATCCTAATCCAAATACAAGTCCATATACTTAGTCTGTACTAATTTAATGCATCAGATGGTTTTTCTTAAGTTCTCTACCGCAAAAAAATTCAAAACTGCATCTTAAAGAACTCAAAATTACTAAAGAAAAAACAAATATAGAAAAACACTTTTGTCTATACAATTTAAATAAGTCAGTAGATTACCTGATCTTTACTTGCGGCCTAATACATAGGAGGCTGAGACCTCAAGGGCTTCACTGGTCTTTTTGATACAGTTAGCCTCAATAAATGGAAATGGAATAATTGCAGCTAAACATAGCCAAGTGTGCCAGTTTGGATGTTCATTCATTGTTGTATAATATGATGATCCTGGGACCATAAGGAGCATGTGTCCAGCTCTTGATAGTTCTATGTTCTATCAGGAGGCATTGCAGCAGCGTAAGCCCTCGTTTTTTAAGGTCTAATTTTTCTTTCTCATATACCTAAATTATAAAGACTTTTTAGTACATTAAGTTTATGGTTGTCCCTAACTACTAAGTAGTAAATTTAGCCTACTAATTGTTTTTCTGTATTTTGCCTTAATAATAGTGGTTAACATTTACTGAATATTTGTATGTGCCAGGAGTTGTTCTAAGTCCTTTAATTATATTAGTTTACGTAGTCCTCATTTAAACAATTAATTCTATGTGTCAAATGCTATTTATTATCTCCTTACTGGAAGTGAAGACCCAGTTATAATGTTATATAACCCCCAAGTCACACTTGGAGCCACTATGCTATGTTGCCTTATATGTTAGACTTTTAAGCCTAAAATTATTCTTATTAATAAAAAGGAAGGTCATACGAAGTAATTGTTTAGCAGTTGACTCTAATTTAAATAAAAGGAACAAACCTTTGTATAATACTCTCTACGTTCCAAGCCCATTATAAGCACTTTACACAAATAATAGTTCTTTTAATCTTTACTCCAGTCCTGTAAGGCAGGGACATTATTATTCCTACAGTGTGGAAAAGGAAATTGAGACACAGAGAGACTACGTAGCTTGTCCATGGTCACCCAGCTGGTACATGACAGAAATTCAGGGAAAAAATACCATCACACCAATTGTTGCAATTATTTTAATTTAACATTTGAGTCCTGCCACTGCTGTTTGTCTCTGAAAAAGTTGTTCCATCTTTCTAAATCTTAGCAACCTCATTTATAAATTAAAGGTGGGGGGATTCTATCATCTATAAGGCCCTTTCAAACAATCCTATTTATTGTATACAAAAACCCCTGAAAAGTCACTTAGAAAAAAACTTGTTCATGCCAGTCTGAAGATTTATGAACTCCAGCTTTTTATCTGACTGCATTCTGACAATTTTCTGTATTTCTCTAAGAATGGTCTGGAAAGGGATCTAGCAGGAAATGAAGAATGTATAAAGTATTTTGATGGTTTCCAGAAATGTCAATTTCAACTCAGCATCTGCCGACAGGTCTACCTAATCTTCCAAACTGTGCAAATCCTGGATCCACCATTTACCAGCTGTGTAACCCTGGACAACAATTCCATCTTTCTGACCTCAGTGTCTTTCTCTGCAAAACAGGGGTAAGAATAATCCTACTTCAATACAGTTGCTGTGAGGATTCACTGAGATAATGTGTACAAAGCTCATACAATAGTACTTAGCTCACAGTAAGTACTGAATGAAAATTAGCATTATTATTGCAGATTTCTGCTCCTATGAAAGTTAAGATTGTGAATTACTACACTTACATACACTTCCTCTGAAGTCTAAAGAAATCACAGGCTCCTCCCAAGATTTGGAAAATTGAGCTCATCTTTTTCTATCTTCAGAAAAAAAAAAATCTAGTTAAATTGTTCAATAGTTAAGTTAGATATTATCTGATATGGAGCTAAGTTTGTGAAATATAAACAGTATTCTGTCCACCCCTCCTTAGTTAAGCTAAGAGGTATTAGCTTTATTATTTGCTAAATGTCACTTAGCATTTGATAAATGTAGCATTTACAGTGCATTCTCAGAGGACTGGAAACTATTCTTTTGTAGAACACCCGAACCTGTTTTCCCCTTTAAGTAACACACTATCTCAGTATATAAATCACCTACTGCCCAAGGTAATGGAGAAGAAAACCAAAGGAAGTTGGACATTTATTTTGGAAGTGTGAGAAAGCAATTGAGACTGTTGAAATTTAACACTACCTTGAGGTCTCATTACACTAGCATGTCACTCATTAGTGCAAACTCACTTTTGCTTTATAGAAGAGCCCAATATATTAATCTACAGCCTTAAAGTGAGTTATTGGTTTAATGCAGATCCAATCTGAGAATAAATGAGGCCCTTTTAAAATGTATTACAGAATGTTGCGCTAATGGTAGTTGATGACGTATATTCACTCTTTGCCAAGTTATGGGTACAAATGTGATATGATTACATCCAGGACAAGAGCCTGAATTTAAGTAAGACTTTTAGAGCTGAAGGAGATCATAGAGATTATATCATCACCAGAGGCCCAGAGGGATTAAGAGATTTGTCTAAGATTATACAGATAATAGGTGGATATCCCAGATTTCAGACTAGACTTTCTTGAGCTCAAGTTCAAGGAAGGTCCATTCTTCTACAGTATGCATTCAGCAACATATTATAATAGTAATAATAATTACAATAACCACCATTTATTGAATACATCCTCTGGGCCAAGGGTTCTGGTGAACTCCACACATATAAGCCCTCCTCTGACCCTGACCCTGTTCTATTGCTCTCATAGCTCCATGAGGTATGTCTGGTTCTCTTCATTTTACAAAAAGATGACTGAGACTCAGGGTTTGTGACTTGTACAAGGCCACACAGCTAGGAGATGCCAACAGCTGGGTCCAATCTCAGTTCTGAATCGGCACTCTTTCTACAAGACTAGCTGCTTTGCCCAAGGGGACCAAAATGACCACATCGTATCTCCTGGTTTTGAAAATTAACTAATTCACTTTTAATGACATCAAGTGTAAACAATCTACCAAATTATTAAAACATTATCTTTTCGTCTATGTGGGCCATGGATTCAAGACCATAAACTTATCATCAGTGATATCCACGAGGATGGGAAGGGAATATTAAGCCTGGTGCTCTGCAAATTAATACTTGGAGGTAAATGAGAAGTATCATAGGCAATTACTATTCACTTAACGTTTCATTCTATTTGAAAGAGAAATTCCCAAATGTTAAATATTACCTTACATTTTAAGCTTAAAAATACACTGGACATGTGACAATGGTGCTGAGTACTTTGGGGGAAGATCACAACAGTCCTGGTAGCAGTGTCACAGCAAAATATTTCAGAGGTACCAGATGAGCTAGCTCCAAGGCAAAATGAGGCAATATTATGCTTAACTGTTCGGAAACCTCTTTTATTAAAAAAGATTTTAAATATTAATGCTATTTTCAATACAGGTGTGATAACACTCAATAAAGCATAGTGTACTTGATATAAATTTCGGAATGTAACAGTCCATCTAGTTCCTGCCCCGCTCCAGTCTCCACCACATACCCCAGTAGCAAAACGTACACACCTGTTTAAAAAATGAAGAAGCTTTTGGGCATTGGGTGAGCAGAGTGGAGTGGGGCAAGGAAAGTGCTCTTTCCTGAATTATTCATGCTTTTGGCTTTAACTTCAGTTAGTAACATCAATTCTAAGAGAACTGAGACAAACTCTTCTATGTTCCGCAAAGGGAGGGAGAAAAAAGCCTGCCATTCGCAAGCAGCTATGGCCAAAACCAGCACAGAGTACACGGGTCGGGAAATTAGGGATTTAAAAAAAATTGGAGTAAAGTGCACATTTACTGTCAAAAATATATTGTTTTGATCCTAAGAAAATTAAAAGAATTTTATCTAATGGACTAGATTGCTGACCTTTTAATACATTTGGTTTTCATCGAACATACAATCACCATCGGACATAAAAAGACTAGTTTGCTTTAAAAAAACAAAAACAAAAACAAAATCCTTGGAGTTATCTACAGGAATCTTGTGGACGCAATTCAAGGATAACATTCTGCAGCTCTTTGGATATTGAATGATGTCCTCGGATCAGTCCACAAAAGAGACAGGGAACTGTTAATGCACTGATACAAGTGGGCGTTTCTCCCATTTTCTCTCTCCTCCCCCCACCCCACTCCTTTCTCTAAATGCCTGTGCTTTCCAGTTCTCCTTCTTCTACCCCTATGGCATGAGACCTGGAAATCATGAAGAGTTTCTCCTTGTTTGTAAACTGCCTCTGCACCGGCTGAGGTTGCTCGGCCGTAAGTGGCTCCTGGCTGGCACCCTCCGGGGAGCTCTGCTCCGCACCCGCAACAGGGGCGGCCACAGAGTCTCGCGTTTGACTGGCAACTGCGTCCAAGACCGACTCGGAGGAGGTGCCGGCCTCCCGCAGGGGTGTGTAGCCCTTATTGCTGCTGGATGGGTCATCCGACTGGGAGCTCCCCGAGTCCCGCCTGGTGGGGGGCGAGCCCTCCAGCC